CTGTGCGACAGACATAAAACTTATATTAGGCATTCAAGGCGTACCCTTTAAAGGTCAGCGTAAGTATACCTATACTTTTCGGCAGATGTTCGGGAAACAACACCATCTGAACAGGTTTGGAGCAAAGGCGTCTTCATGATTTCTTCTTCCGGTTGGCGGGAGAATAAGACATGTTTGGTGCAGTTGTTTATACTGCGAGGTCGGCTGTGGATTTTCATAGATGGGAATGATGGCACTTGGTAACGAGATGGTTGGCGAGCATTCAAAAGAAAGCACATACTCAAGTCTAGGGAAGTCTCTTGTCTCTATGTTGGTTCTTCTAAGCTTCCTCAAAATTACTGATTAAGGCAAGTTGGGTATCATGATGCGCAAAGAACAGTGACAGTTGATACCGCCACAACGTGGACTGTAATGGCCGAGGGCTCGCAAAAACACGGGACGGACAAGGAGAACTACGACGACTGAGCCTGCGCTGCTTGTGCCGCGGCAGCTTCAGACTCCTCCTGTTTCCTCCGTTCTTCATCCCGTTTCGCCTGAGCGGCCTTCAGCCTCGCCATGGTAGCTGCGAAGCCACCACCCCCGACTGCTGGTTTGGGAGCCTCGCCGGGGGCAGCAGCAGCAGCAGCCGTACCTTCTGTTGTCGCCGTCGTCGACAACGGTACCGGTGCTGGCTGTGGTGGCTGGGCTGCCTTGTTTTCGTCAGCCTTTGACTCTTCCTCTTTTTGTGTCGTATTGGAAGTGGAGGAAGTAAAGGGGGGTTTGTCTTGATTGTCCTTGTCCTTTTCGCCGTCCTTGCCCGCGCCCGCTTTTTTGTCCGCTTTCCGCTTCTCCTTCTCTGCTTTCCGCTGTCGCTTCTCTTCGAGCTTGCGTTCTAGCTCAGCGATTTTGGAGTCGTAATCATCTCCGCCGCCACTGACATTGACGCCGTCAGCTGCTGGAGGCTGTTCAGTATCGGTGCCGGTACCGCCCATCTTCACATCCTCCTCCTTTTTCTGTTGTTTTTGCTTCTCGGTAGCCGCAGCCGCAGCCGCAGCCGCTCTCTGCTCCCTCTCCTCTGCCTCCCTCATCAGCCTCCTCCTCTCCTCCAATTTGGCCCTACCCTTCCTCGCCATGGCCTCCACCTCCGCCGCCACTGCTTGCTTCCCCTTCGCCTCATCCATCTTCTGCTTCTTCGCCGCCTCCTCGCGCTCGTGCAGCTCCTCTACCAATCTTCTTCGTTTCGCCGACATGGCGTCCAGCGTCGCCTTCTTCTGCAGGATGGCGCGCATGCCGTTGTCGTAGGCGACACGCGCCTCGGCGTTGAGGAGCACATCGCGCGCCCGCTCGAGCCGCTCGTAGAGTAATGGATCGTAGGCATCGCCGGCTTTGTCAGGATGCGCGGTTAGGGCTTTGCGACGGAAGGCGCGCCGGATGTCGGCTTCGGTGGAGGTGGCGTCGATTGGGGTGGTATCGGAGGTCAGTAGGGTAAAGAGGTCGTCGCCGCGCGCCGCGGCGTCGGAGGCGTACTTTATTAGTTCTTCGCCTTGCATTTTCTTTGTTATATTTGGGTTGCGATTGGAGGTATATGGTTTCGCAGATGATGGTTTTAATTGTCGGTTTGGGAATTGGTTTGAGCTGGGTGGTGGATGGCAGCAAATGCGAAAGAAGAAATGGACAGTGTATGAACCGGTGACGTTGAGTGGTAATTTCCGGCCGAAGAAAACCGCTGTGCAGTGGCAGGCTCGTGTAATTAACGTAACACTCTGTAATTACACGCGCCCCATTTTAGCACCATCAGCCCTACGCGATTTCATGGGTCCCTCGTTATTTCATGTTTCTTCTTCTTGCGACCTCCCTATCACCACCAGCCCAATACTGCTCGCAGGTTGGCAGTACTCGTAACTCATCATTTCAATTAACTCGATTAACATAACAAGATAAAGGTTTCAACAAAGCTCCAAACGCCCTCCGCTCAATCTGACGCGCCATGTACGCGCATCCCCTCAGCACCCTCAGTAGGTGGCAGCCAACCTCTGCACCAGGTACTGCCCACTGTGGATGCCCTCATACTTCTTTTCCGACTCGGCCGCGTACGTGCCCGGGATGGCCTCAATGTAACTCTTGTTATTGGGGTTACAGAAGTACCTGGAGATATCACTGTCAGCTATGGCAGCTCATTCAAGACCCCTGGGGACATCAAGAGGCAACACTTACGCAATGCTGTATCTGGGCGGGTGAACATCATCTGTCTTGGGAGGCTCGACAACACGATGGACGGTGCTCTTGATGGTATCGTTGCTCCATCTGGCCAGAAGATCGCCAGCGTTGACGACAACCGTGTTCTCAATCGGTGTTGCATCGATGAACTGTCCATTGGGACTCTTCACCTGCAGACCACCACGCGAATCCTGGAACAGCAGGGTGATGGAGCCATAGTCAGTGTGCTCGCCAGCGCGGACCTGGCCCGGGTTGATCTTGAACACCTCGCTCTTCACGGCCGGGTAGTGCAGCAGGCGCAGGGTGTTATCGCCCACGTCGACGAAGCTGTCAAAGTAGTTGGCGTCGATGCCCATGCCGACGGCAATGGCACGCATCACTTCCACGTGCAGCGCCTTGCACTCGTCGAAGAAGTTGGTCATGGTGCTCTTGAACCCGACGAGCTCGTCTTCTTCCGCCGGCCATGGGTTTGGGTGGCCCGGCTCATCTTCACGGCCGATCTCAAAGCTTTCCTTGATATCGGGGGCGGCTGATCGGATCTTCTCGATCTCGGCGGGGTCGGTCAGTTGTGTCACCTTCTCGCGGCCGGGGGCCGAGTAGCCACGGTTGGCCTCGGGCGTGGTCCAGCCAACCTCGAGCTTCTTCTCCTTGGGGAGCTTGAAAAACTTGGCTGAGGTGTTGAAGACATGTTCGCGGAAGTCAGGCTGGATGGGTATGTTCTTGAGATAGATGAAGCCGGCTGTCTGGAAGCCATGAAGGATCGCCTTAGCCGTCTCGAGCTTCAAGGTCTCGTCTCCCTCGAGGAACTTGGAGAAGTCGATGAGCTATTTCGACGGGTTAGTTAACCCCCATGGACAGACAGGCACCGGGGTGAGTAGCAATGGCTGTGTCCCAAGGTGTAGCATACCGGGATGACGAGTCCGTCTTCGTTAACAGCAGCCTTTTCCATCTTGATCTCTACCTTTGGATCGCTTTCTTCGATATGGGAACTGAGCACGCGAGCAGTTCAAAAGTCAACAAGCTGTCACGGGCGGGGCATCACAAGCAATTAAACAGAACAACAACACGGGCAGCAAGGAGAAGAAGAGAACCACGGAGATACGAACTCCATCATATGTTCTTTATCGGATCTTGACCCGATATACTATCACGTTTATCGGCGGCACGGCGAGGATTGCGGGCAAGTGTATCGCACTCCGAGACTCAAGTCGGGCTAGTTCCAGCTGGGATCTGTCGCTGCATGTAACGATAGCATGACCGAAACGGGCAGGCAACTGAGCACTCCCGCGATTGGTCTTTGATATCGTTTTGCTTTGATGTCAGTGGACAGAACATTGGAGATGCAGTTGCAGTGATGTTTTTTCTCGCCTTCCAGAAGGGTGTTTCTGCTTACAAGTCGTTCTTATAAATCCCCACTTCTCTTCTCACGATAAGGTTTGTCTTCGCCCCCTCTCTGTTGCATTGTTGCATTCACGCTACGATAAAGACGGAATGCGGGGGGAAAGGGGAGATTATTGGGGCGGGGTATTATGCTACCATATGTAACACAACATCTTTTCTTTTCGTAGTGTAACGCCTCTTCGTCATTGTTTTATTTCCCGTTGCCAAGCAACTGTACAAAGGCACTGTTGTCTCTTGTCCTTTTTTGTCTTGTTGTTTTCTCACTACACCATCCTCACTCCGCAACACCACACCCATTCCTCACCACCATTGAAGCTTGACCATCTCCAAGCTTCACGATCCCCTCATTGAACCCCAAACCATCTTACTCCAACCCCAGTTCTTCCCCTCTCACCACCACCCGCAATCCATCACCATGGGCTTCGGCGACGGCAAAGTAGTGGACATCCACACCCACATGTACCCCCCGGAATACGTCAAAATCCTCGAATCCCGCACCACCATCCCCCTCGTGCGCTCCTTCCCCGGCTCCTCCGACCCTCGCCTGATCCTTCTTGACACCGAGGTTCCGATCCTCGAAGAAGCCGAAGCAGCCAAATCTCGAGGCGAAGCCCCCCTTAACATCCCCGGCCGTCCCCTAACCAAGCACTACTCCTCGCTCACCCAAAAGATGCACTTCATGGAAACGCACCAAATCGACATCAGCGTCGTCTCACTCGCCAACCCGTGGCTCGATTTTCTTTCTGAAGATGAAGCGGGGCCCATCGCAGAGTCCATCAACGCCGATTTCAGCCGCATGTGCGAAGAGAAATGCGGCCGGCTATTTTTCTTCGCTGCCTTACCGTTGACCGCCTCGCAAGAGGTTATCCTCTCCTCCATCGCGCACGTTGCTGGTTTGCCTTACTGCCGGGGCGTCATACTGGGTACCTCCGGTTTAGGAAAGGGACTGGATGACCCCGATCTTCTCCCCATCTTCCACGCTCTCGCGGATGCGAGATTGATGATTTTCTTGCACCCGCATTACGGTCTGCCGAATGAAGTCTGGGGTCCTCGCGCCACGGAAAACTACGGGCACGTATTGCCACTGGCTCTCGGGTTTCCGATGGAAACGACCATTGCTGTCACGAGGATGTATCTCGCGGGGGTGTTTGACCAGGTTCCGCAGCTGAACATGTTGCTGGCGCACAGCGGAGGGACTTTGCCGTTCCTGGCGGGCAGGATAGAGAGCTGTATTTTGCATGATGGACATTTGCACGCTGCGGGGACGAAGCCGAAGAAGACGATCTGGGAGGTGTTGAGTAGTCAGATTTTTCTCGATGCGGTGGTTTATAGCGATGTAGGTCTGAAGGCGGCCGTGCAGGCGAGCGGGCCGGAAGGGCATGAGAGGTTGATGTTTGGGACTGATCACCCTTTCTTTCCGCCGCTGGGGAGCGATGAGGAGGGCGAATGGGAGAGTGTGACGTGGAATGGGGCGGCGGTGAGGAAGGCGTTTGGTGGAGCGGAGGATGGGGAGGAGAGCGACGAGGGGAAGAAGGTGAGGGGCGTGATGGGCGGGAATGCGGTTAAGGTGCTGAACTTGAGGAGGGATGGATGCCGATAGATGCGTGGTAAGGAAAGAAGGCTGTAGGTAAATGATATAGTATGTATATACACGATGAAGCACTGACCTTTCATTTTCAGTATAGACAACGTCGGCTGCAGTATCAAGTAGCTGCTCTGTCTAAGACACTGTTACAATACCCCCAGTGCCTTAATTCTCTGGGGAACTTGCGTTGCTTGGATTTATGAAGTGATTGGAGAGAGCCCATCGTATGTTTGGACGCATATTTGAACTATCATTCGGGAGTCTGAACAAATCTTCAACAGATCACGCTCTAGATAATAGGAGGATGACATTCGAGTAACTGAATGACGGCTGCAGCGACAGTCTCAGAAAGACGGGTTGTATAATAACGCGGGCCCTGACTAGCACCATCCAACCACCCTAACAGAAAGAAACAACCCTGAAAGAAAATAAAAATTCAAAGCTGACGACGTAGGTAGAGACACTTTGATCAAGATCGACAAGAGACAGATCGAAACGAAGAGTAAAAAGCAAAAAGCAAAGTGCCAAGAAAAAACATACACCACCAGGGATTCGCTGGTCGTCACCGACCCAACTACTAGTCTGGCCCTCACTAAGCTTGTGTATGGGAGTGAGAAGGATATCAATCGGGTTTCTTTTAATCGCGTGATAGGGTCACAAAACTGAACAATCACCTCCCGTATCAAATCGTTCAATACGGAGGCACTACGGTGAGTGGGGAGCCGGCGCTAAAATGATTGATATAATTGGGCGGATTATGAGCAAAGTAGACCGTCCTTGTTGTTGTTGTTGTTGTTGTTATTTTTAACGTCTACTTCCGCCTCCCGTAGGGCATGAGACGTGCCACATCGGTGAATCTAGCATACAAAAATAGGAGCAGTGCCCTAACTGTCCACCAAACCCTTTAATCCGAGGGCAAACCGAGGCCTATTGCCAGTGGAAATCATGTGTTGCTCATAGCGTGAACGCGGCCCAACACTTATCATCGAATCGCCGAAAAAAGTAGACCGTCCTGAAACACCGAGATTGCACCTCCAGGTTGGTCTTACTATTGCTAGCGCAGCCGCCCCTTTATAGAGAATCGATTGGCTGAACGAGCTTCAGTCCCGTTAAGTACACGGCCACGCCATCCACGAGCATGACTGGGCATGGCTCCTTGCCCACGGAAGCAAAGTCCATCCATACTAATCCGGTCGTCGTCTGAGTAGAAAACTGGATATTCCCACATTTGGCTGGAGTTTTGCGGATGGCCTCGAAACAAAACTATGATATTTGCTCGGACGATTTCAGACGAAGGTCACCTTGATATATTGAATACCAATAACGTTTATTATTGTCGGTAGGGCCGACATTGCAGGTGTGCCAAGCCCCTGACATCTGACCTAAACCAGTTCGATTTTAACACCAAGCATTCGAGTCTGAAGAAAAGTTTCGCAACAAAATTGCCCTCCGGGTCTTCCTTTCCTCGATCCCTCCGTCCAGCACGTTCTATCTGGACCTTGAGGGCAAAAGTCTCAGCCGCAATGGAACCCTCACCCTCCTGACGGTACTCGTCCTTCCCGCGTAATTAACAAGCATTGTCGATGTCCAAACCCACGGACTCTGCTTTCACCACTCCCGGCAAGGCGGAAATACCCTCAAAGCCCTCCTCGAGGATCCCCACACTTCCAATTGCTTCTGGGACGTACGCAATAACGCGGACGCGGCGGAAACGTGGGCGGTCTGGAAGTGCCCAGGCGGTGGTCCACCTGCAACACCCATAGACTGCCTCCGAATA